AGAGCATACACTGTGGAGCCCGGCGGTCGGGTGAGTTCCCAATCCGCCGAGCGAGCAGGGAAGGCGGCCGTCGGGTATCTCGCGAGCCGCGAGATCCAAGATGGCCGCCGTCCACATGTGAAGGTGCGCCGTGGATCGCGGTCGCGCGGTGCAAAACAAAGGGAATAAATGCAACACAAACGCTGACCCCAGCCTCCCTCCACCCGTCCCCATACAGTCCCCTGTGTAAGTGAAAGGGCCGGTCCGCGAGGCGAGCGCGACACGGGTAGTCGTTGCGCCCGCGGATACCAGGCAGTAAGGTGGAAATAAAAAGGGGGAAAAAACAGAGGGATACAGTGAAGGGACAGGAATAAGGGGGGCCAAGGTAGCAGGTGTTAGCAATAAATAGAGTAATATATAGTGGTATGACAATCAAAAAAACAGTGTAAATCAAGAATCTACCAGAGAGGTAAAATACTCTGACCTGTTGTATGGCTGGAGCAGCAAAGAAAGAGGAAGTGATGTCATAGACAGGGCCTTTTATGGGCATCATAACTTTTTTCTGATTGGTTGTTATGTTTCTATGCTGCTGGAGTTTTCAGTAAAGAAAGATATGCAAATATGAAGCCTCCTGTCATGTGGTAAAATTAGTGACAAATGTCAAAAACTTCTTGGGAGTTATTATTCACTTAATCTAGTTTTCAAAATATGCATTGAATTTCTCAACACGCCAACAAAAATAGCTGAAGCACCATCTTTACCCAAGGATTAATAAAGTACAATGCTATAGAAGTAAATATATTTTTAAAATTAATACTTTATTTTTACTCCAAAGAGAGAAATGGATATATTTTAAAAAGTCTGTACTTAAAATGAATCTTTTAAATCTGCAAGCAATTATGAAAAGTGACCATTCAAAATCCAAGTTCAAGCCATGTGGTTGGAGGGTATTAAGCTTAAAAATCCATTTCATTTCCATTTGGCCCAATGTTCCTTCTTAATTATGCCTTCACCTCTCCAATAACATGATTTGGTGTATGTCAAAACAAAAAACCACGTCCCTTTTGACGTACAAGTGATCAAGTTTCTCAGAGAGGGGGTGGGGGGGAAGCAGTGGATGTGGGATTACACATGGCATCTGCTATTGTAGTCATAGCTGGTCTGTTGGTACAGGTAGGACAGTCTCTGTATCACAAGTTGTAATAGCCGGGATATCCTTCACTAGCAGGGGGTGGAGAGTATGCTACAATCAGCTAAGGGCTTAGCCGCCTATCTCAAGCTGTCTAGGCCTCAGGTCTATCCCCAGGAAGAAGCCTCCAATCTTGGTCGAGAACACGATTATTTGTAGCCGCAGTGGTAAACACCCAGCTCCGGGTTATGTGAGCACGCAGTATCCGTGGCTATTTTCTATAGTTTTGGCTGAATATGAGCTGTTTTGCATGGAGCTTATATGATGTGCGAATGATCACTGTGACTACTAGGCTCAACCCCCTCATGCAGCATTTTTGGGGGTTTCCAGTTTATATACATGCAGAACAGACCCCACAACCATATAATCAAAATAAAGGGTGTCTGCAGAAAACGCAGCCAATATTTTAAGTTGGAAATTACAGGATTTGGAAACAGACTGCATGTGAAGAGAAAAAGTAAGACCTGAGTCGAAAGTAACTCCAAGACCGCAAGCTTGTGGGCTTATAATAATAGGTGTTCCATTAACCTGCTGGGAGATAGATGGGGAAAGGACTATTGGTGGGGGGAAAAGATGAGTTGAGTTTTAAAAAACAGGAAGACATCCAGTTAAAGATGGGAAAGGTAGTTTCTGTCGTGTTGTTGGAAGGCAGGAGAGGTAAATCTGAGTATCGTCAACATATAAATAGTATTGAAATCTAAAAGAGTTAAGGTCACTGGAAGAGGCAGTGTCAATAGAGGATAAAATAAGACCTAGAATAGAGCATTGGGCAACACTAAGTGAGATGAGCCAGAGAAAGAAACACTAAATGAGCGTTCAGAATGATAGGATATAAACCGGGAAAGTACAGAGTTATGGAGTCCAAGGTTGTGAATGGTTGGCAGAAGAAGAGACTGGTTGATGGTATCCAAGGCAGAAAAGAGGTCGAGGAGAATTAAGAGAGAGTAATGAACTTTAGAGATGACATTAGTCACTTTGGTAAGGGCAGTTTCACTAGAATGGAGGGAGTGGAACCTAGAGAGAAGAGTGTCCAAGAAGAGTTAGTACTGAGAAATTGTGTTAGACGGGTAGACACAAACTGCTCAAGAATCTTAGAAGTGAAGGGGGCTAGTGATACAGGTAGTTGGAAGGCAAGTGCTTACAGTATTACACAGGTCTATTGTGGGACAGTAAATTGCTAAGGGTTTGCCTGAGAGTTGTTGGTTTTGGCCCAATAGTGCCCTTCAAACCATTCCTCCAGTCCCAGACCATTACAGGAATTGGCACATAACATCCACTGACCCCTACTTGCAAGGTCATTGGGTCCAAGAGAGCCCCACATAGTGGAGATCCTCCAGGTGTTGTGAACTTTGAACAGGGTGAACCCCCTTCTAGGTTCTGAGGCCAGATAGAGAGCAGTGGCCTCCCAGCACAGCGGCTTTGCACATACTAGGGGACCTGATCGTGCTGCTAAAGGGCTGCAGCGTCTGACCGGGGCTCCGATCAAAGGTGGTCATCAGGTGGTCCTTACTGCATGGGCCCCCAGAGCTAGCAGGCCCTGGTATAGCGCACTAGCTGCATCGGCAGTAGTTCCGCCACTGTGTCAGTGTTCTTTTTTAAACTGTTGACTATTACTTTTCCTTTCTATCATCTTCTAACTCTGACTATTATATTCTTCCTTTCTAACGCGTCGCGTTTTCTTTCTTTTCTCTTTGATTTTGTGTTTTATTACTCTAATAAAAAAAAAGTCTCAGTGGGGGTTCATGCATTTTTTTTTGTTTAACAATGTAGTGTAGTTTTATTTATAGCGTTTTGTGTTGGATGTATTTTTCTTCCCTGATGTCCTGACTGTTGCTTCCTATGTATACCCAGTCGTGGTTAAATAAAGAATTATGTTTAAAAATGTTGAACGTTATTTATGAATAGGAAACTGCTTTAGTGAAAGTTCTTTGCAGCACTAATCAAAACCACCAACTTTTTTTTTGGAGGCACAACAAGGCTGAATGCATGAGAGCCCAAATTCCAGAATTAAATTTATTCTGTCAAAGTGTAAAAAAAATTGTACCGCGTTAAGCACGTCACTAACATTTAATATGTTAAGACCTAAAGGGAAATTATAGTGACAGGAAAACAACGTTGTTTTCCTGACACTATAGCTCCCCCCTCCTTTGTGACCATCCCCCCTCCTCTGTCACTTACCTGAGTCCAGCGCCAAAGTCTGTGCTGGCCCGGGCTCCACCTCCGCTCCTCCCATGCTGATGTAAGCCAGCGGGGGAGGCCTAATGCGCATACACAGCCATTGCAGCGCTCGTATTAAGACTTTTCCATAGGAAAGCATTATACAATGTTTTCCTATGGGGTTCTGGGTGCGCTGGATATCGTGCATAGCGTGATGATGTTCAGCATCACTTAGGCGACCAAAAATCGCCTAACAACCTGGAAGTCCTTGTAGTGGCTGTAATTATTGCAGTTAATCAAAGGCGGCAATAATTAACATTGCAGGATTAAGGGACCTGGGGACTATGCACCCAGACCACTTTAATGAGTGGTCTGGGTCCCTATAGTGTCCCTTTAAGATAAGATCATTTGTATTGGAACCTACTGTTCCAGATGGTCAACCATGTCGCGTTTTACATATATTCATACATACATACATACATACATACAGCATTGTGGAATAAATAAATTGGCGCTATAAAACTAATTGTAATTGCATTATGATTATGATTAAGTGCTTCATTTGCGAAACACCTATTAGTGGAGTGCTGTCCTCTGTACAAATCTTCCACTTTTCATGAATACATTTTAATTCTGGAATATTGACTCCCATGCATTCAGCCTTATTGTGCCTTCACAGAAAACCTTTATGGTTCTGATTTCTGGATTGGTGATTCTGCAATGGGAAGCATTGATCTTTTATTTTGTGGTGTAGGATCCTTCAAGCTGTCTAAACACAGACCAGCACTGTTTTAAATGTTACTTCCCAGGGGCACCTAAACCAGGCTTAAAACATACCCGTTTTACGGTGCCAGGGCACATCAGGTACCATCACTAGTACAGCAGACTGCAGTGGTCATGGTGCCTGCAGACGTCATTTGAGTTTGATGTGTTAAGATGAAGAGAATCACTCTTGGTGTATTGAACAAACCAGAGAAAGTGATTTTATAAAGGCAATATTTATTTTAAAGAATATATATATCTATATAATATTTTAGGCAACACATTGTATAAACACATAGACTTATTGTACGTTTACTTTTTATTTCCTATCAAGTGATAACACATGCAATAATTATAAAATAAAATGATTAGGAAAGAAGGGGAATGTAGCATACATAGAATAGTAAGGACAGAAAAAAATGCATGTTTAGGAATGAAGTCTGGGGGCACAGCAAGATGAATGGAAGTGGGATAGCAAGTCAAGGGAAAGAAGTAGCAGAAAAGCGGTGTGCAAAACACATCCACAAAATAGAATTACTTTAATTATTAGAGTTGTAAGGGCTGACATAATTACTTGTCAGAAACCATCTTATTAATTGGGAGCATTAAACTGTTGTGCTGACCCTGTTAGCAGTCAGAATCCAGACATTATGAAGTTAAAGTCCACCTTTGGGAATCTCTTGAGCTGATCATTACACAGGCAGTGATACCATATATAGAGCAATGCACAAACTGAGAATTCCAGGGGATATTCCGATACATTGTATACACACACATTCCTCCACTTCCTCTGTGTCTCCTGGAGCTGACAGCTTTATTATTGGGATTATTATGACCAGCCATTCATTGTCCCTGATCCCTGGTTATTATGTATGTGTGGCTGTGAAAGCCCTGATGGAATGACGAGCAGTGGGCATCGCGTCACCGTGCGTAATGCAGCCCACCCCCAGCGACGCCTATGCTGCCATTCCTGCTGGGTGGTGGGAGGTCTATCCTTGCTGTATCCGGGAGCAGCCTGTATAAAGCTCAGAGCAGGCATCAGGCTCCCACAGTCACCCACCATCAGCACTTCACCACAGTGCTCCAGGATCCCTCTAACTGATAACATCCCCTGTGGCACTGTACAGAATAAATAGCATTACAGATTTACAATTACAGCTGGATTGCACTCCGTCTATTGCTTTTGCATCAGATCTGTTGCGACCAGTCGCCAGGGTCGCACCAAGGCTAGAACTCTTCCCCTGGCACCTTGGCTGGCAGGTGGGGGGCAGGGACTGTGCTCAGCTGGCTGAGATATTGCGTTGTGGATCTTTACCCATGCGTTTGCCAAATATGTCCAGTAATTTCTTGTTAGCCCCTATCCCAGAGAATGCGGATTTTTTCTCCATCAGGGACATAAAACTGGCTGTTTTTGGAGCAAGTGGAGTTGGGAAGACTGGTAAGTGTTGTCTTGGCATGTGTGAAAATTGGCAGAATTAGCAATCATTTGACTTTTACATTACAGTGATCACATGTCACTCAGTTTGTTATACAGTTATCAAATTAATACTTTGAAATTCAGTTTGTAACATGATGATACCTTGTGATGACACGTTCAATGCAGCAATAACTTGGGGGCTTTCTAAATCATATAAATCCCCCAGATGATAGCTATGCTGTAATTTGAATTGATTTAGAGATTTTTTCCAATTTAGTTATTTTCTGCTTAAATTTAGCAAAGTGTGATTTTTATCTCAGTATTATTCACTTTTTAATGTATAATACATCTGGGATTTTTGTTATTTATCCATGATGGGACATTTCGTAATTGTCTCATTTATTCTTAAATCCCCCCCTTTTATAATATTGTAAAGCGCTGTGGAATAAGTTAGTGCTACATAAATACTATTAATAATAATACTACTAATAATTAATGGTGCATTGCTTGGACTGGCTATTACAATTGACCTGTATGCCTTTCACAGATTAAAAGATCATACAATCCTACAAGCAGTTTGAGTGCCAGAGGGTCAAAAAGTGCATTGTTCTATCTTTGGCACACAACATGTTAATATTTATTTCCACACATGTGGCACTGAAAGGGTTAAACCTTCACATGTACTTTTGATCTAAATACATATTAATTCACATATCATCACTGGTACATTTCACTGGTAGTTTACACATAAGCATTGCACCAAGTATTTGCCAAAATCCTGCCCACCTGGGTGAAGCAGACCTTCATTCTGCTACCATTGGAGTGTATTCACTAAGCTTTGAATTGTGGTGGACTGATAACCGACTTACCCCCACATTCTGCAGTCACAGATGGGCAGCCATCGTATAATTAGTAGCAGATCTATACTGGAGCTTAGTAACCAAACCTTAGAATGAAATGTTACAGTAGAGTCATTTAAGAAGTTTAAATTCTGGGATCTTGATATTGTTTATTCACTATGCAAGGAGATTGATTCATGAAACTATTTCTATAGGAGGAAACTATTAGAAACATACTTAGTATGGCAATTAAATGTCATGTACACTGAATGATGTAGAAACTGTTATTCCTGCATGTTATCCCCATATAGAGTCAATGACCTCCTGTAGAAATTTTATTCAGAAATTAGGCTTATGCAGTCAGAAATGAGAGTATCTGATAGGCTAGGGATGTGCGCTGATACTGTCATCATAAGCCGCTATCCTTATCAACTAATACAGCTAGACTGTGCAAAAATACTTCAAATAATCGCATCACTCACACTGCATTTTTTTAAATGTATCCCATATCAAAACAGCAATAGTCAACGTAAACTTGTATTGTTGCTTTAACCAACCCTTCATGTAGAGTGACCAAGGACGAGGATGGCACACGTAAAATAAACCATCAAAGTGACTCAGCCCTGAGCAGATTCACATAACCAGCAAAGTACAAGATGGGAAAGGGAAGGGGTTAGCAACCTTAGGCACTCCGTATGTTGTGGACTACATCTCCCTTGATGCTTTGCCAGCATTATGGCTGTGAGAGGATTATGGGACATGTAGTCCATAACGAAGGTTGCCTACCCTTGTTTAGGGCTTCCTATTTTCTTGGTGTCGCGGCTGAGACTATATCTTAGCAGTAATGACTAGTTATGTCATGCCAGCTGTTGTGGACTATATATTATCTATCTGAGTATTATGGGAATTAAGTCAACCAGTGGTGTAATAATGTGTTGAAGTGCTTTACCCATCAGCTATGTTGTGTTTAACTTGCTTTTTGTCTGATAGAAATATACAATAATTTGCTGTATAATTAACATTCATTTTGTATTTTCTCTCTATAGCAATGATTGTCCGATTTCTTACCAAACGATTCATTGGGGACTATGAAACCAATACTGGTAGGTGAACTGCTTCCTTCATTAAGCTGACATGCTAGCATCCAGGCTAACCTTTCAAATTGTACAAAAAATAAATATTTTCTAATTTATTAAACAGGAAACCTGTACTCCAGGCTGATGTGTCTAGAAGGAGAGCAGACATATTTGCAGATTCAAGACACACCAGGCCATGTAAAGGTAGGTGCTTCAGACAACAATTTATCTTTTACTATTGCTATACAATACAAGAAATCTGCCATTGCAATTGGTATTTTGCTTTTACCCTTATGGGGAGACCGAGATTAGTTATAATAAATGTAAGGTTTGAACTCTGACACACCGATTTATTATTGAATTATTGGGAAAGCAAAATTTTACATTTAACGCCAAAATAGCTGAAAATATAGCTGACTTAGAAAATGTTTCCAATTCGGCTGTTTAGGCTTCAAATTTGAAACACTAATGCACTTCATTTTACTAACAATTTATTGCATAATTCTTGAAGCCATACATGGAACGTCAGGGTCTCTGTACCTTAACCTTATGGGGAATGGTCAATCCAGAATTCCTTGAAGTTGTTACCTTTTCACAATTTAAGTCCAGGCATTGCAGGGTTAAGTATCAAAAATGCTCTAAGACCAATCACCTTGATACCCAGTGACAATTAAAATAAAATGAGCAATTACCCTTCTAAATTCAGAAAACCATAGAGAACATAAGATGCCTCCAAATCTTCAATACTCAATATAAAAACATACCACTCTACAGAAAAAAAATACAATCAACGACAAATAGAATAACACTGCTAAAAATTGTTGGTTGTCTCTGTATCTGATTGAACTCACACAATGTATAGAAAGTACCATCAAAGGGTAAAATCAAAACTCTCATCTCTTCTTGCATATTTCTTGATAATTTATAAAGGAAAAACACAAAACCTAGAGTGTACCTTTTAAAACCATAATCAATTTAATACAAATGCATTTAGAAGGTATAAAGTGTAAAATCTGCTGTCACTATAAGTTAGTATAAAATCCAATTCCCTAAGTGTGTAGAAGATGGGCAGGTAACCAGTAATCAGGTGGAGATCCAATAGCCCTACGCGTTTCAACCGTTCGGCATAGTCATCTTCAGGGGAAACTGATTAAACAAGTACACAGCAAAATAATATTCCACCCACTCAAAAATTGCGCTTCAATCTCGTAACTCACCTATCAACCGTCTTTCAAGCTGAACAATTAGTCTTCTTTATTCTTGACCAAGTAGGCCTCTTGGGTGTATATCTCTATGGGGGGCTGTTTGGCAGAGCAGGGTATGAATTTAAAAGTGGTGAGGTCCTGCCAAATTCAACTAAATCTTTCAAAATTCCAAGTCCCGAAGTTGAACTCATTATAGTTTCCAAAAATAGTTCAGTGTCTCACTGCACCCCATCTGATAGTGATTTGCTGCCAATACAAACGTGCAATTTGATCTCCAGTGGTCTTAGTCTTCTGCAAAAAGTATTTGCTTTTTTTTTAACGCCAAAGTAAACTGATTTCTTTTTTCCCTTGATGTATTTTTATAATAGTATGTCAAGATGATTGTAAAACCTTTATGATTGGTCTCTTTGTAGATGGAAATTGATTCGGCCCCAGTTCCAGAGATTCTAAGGTGTTTGCAGTGGGCTGAAGGGATTCTCCTGGTCTACTCAATCACGGACTCTAAGAGCTATGAATACGTTCGCCATCTTTACCAGCACATCCGAAAAGTGTATTCGGACTCGAAGATTCCTGTAATTCTAGTGGCTAATAAAGGAGACCTTCTTCACGTAAGGCAGGTCTCGTCAGACTCAGGAATACAACTGGCAAATGAACTGGGATGTTTTTTTGTAGAAATCTCAACCAGTGAAAACTGCCAGGGTGTTTGTGATGTGTTTCAGTATCTTTGTAAAGAGATAAATAAAGTACAAACTTCAAGCTCTGGAGAAAGAAGAAGAGTTTCCATCATACCTCGACCCAGGTCACCAAACATGCAAGATTTAAAGAGACGATTTAAACAAGCTTTAACACCAAAAGTTAAAGCTTCCTCTACGGTGGCATAGGACTTCTGACATAACTAATAGGATTTTATATTTTTGATACCTAATTTAGAGTAATTTATTTTTTTTATGGACAGTAACAATTGTTTTTGTATAATTGTATATATATATTTTTTGTATTGAACAACAGAATTGATTTAAACACTATGCTTTGTATTAGGGGTGAGCTAGCACACAAATAGTTCCCGTGTGGTCAATTTCAACTCAGCAGGGCAAAATTTGCACTCGAAAATGGCCTTGTTTACCTGTCAGGGAGTTGTGGCCTTGCTACTCACTAAAGTATTTTGGAACTAAAAGTGTTAACAGACTGACGCATAGAGCTTGTGTTCTAGACTGTCTGACACATTTGGCTGGCATTACGGAATGTTAATATGTAGACTGAGTTCAGTAGCCAAAACTTATACATTTTAATTCTACATTCCTGGGATTTAAAGTTTGTTATCCAGGGATTTTATTTCTCTCTTTTTTTCATGCATCAACATAATCCAGATGTCAGCGAGCAGGCACCCATCCAATGCTGTAACCAAAGGATTTCCTGTATCCAGACAAAAGGCAGACACAAAGACATATTCTCTTATTCTCCACCGGCTTCTAGAAGTAGCAGTGTTATATAAAGTACCAGATATTTTTACACCAAAATCAGAAACAGAATTTTAATCAATGAAAACTTGGTTGGTGCTTAAAGGAAAAGGTACTTAAGTTTAGTGATCGCTGGACAGACAGACGATATACAGACAGACAGACAGATAAAATACTGTTTGTTTAGCTTTCATGCTAACCTTAAAAATAATAAGATCATGGAATGCTGTATTAAGTGAAAAGAAAACATTACTGGCATTGAGAATATAATGAAATTGTGTTCTTATAAAGCAAAAATCAGTCAATAAAAAGAATGTGACCTTGGAAAGGTCTGATGGATTTCATCATGCTAAATTCTTCTGCATTGTTACAAGGAACCTCTTTATTAGACTGATAATGACCAGCCATATAGTAGCATCCTCAGACATTTGTTCTTCTGCGTATAAATGTCTTCGGTGGAGTAGATTCAAGTCTTCAATAGGACACTTACAGGGCAGTTTCAAATCACTATGTGGATAATGGGAGTTGTAATTTATAGATGTTGGGGAACTAAGGCTTCTCCCAATGTAATTTACCAACAATTATGTTTGTCCACTGATAAACCACTGAACATATTTGGAAATAATGTATTTTAGATAATTTGATGGATATTGCAACATCTGGCTCCATACCACACTATCTATGTTGTCATGATGATGGGACAGGATATGCGTGTTTATAAGTACATAATCCTACCCACCCACATATACAGTAAACACTGTCCAGATGCCCCAAAAATGTGTCAGAACATTGAAATATACATATATCGCAAACATTGTTAATGTAATTATTTATTTATTTTTGTCAATAAACATCTCCAGTTGGTTAATACTTACTGTCTGTTTTTTTTTAATGTCCTTTGTATATCTAAGTATACTTATCTTACAATGATTTTACACGGTACGAATAATAAAGCGATCAGTGGCTCAAATCAAGAACAAAACTGCAGCAGAAAAAAATACTTAATGACTTGCAAACGATAACAGAATGATGGTTGGTGGGACCTAATTACACCACTGTCTCCACTGCTTAGGGGTTTGTTTGCCCTTCTGAGCTAAGGCATGTATTGCTGGGCTTAGCTCAGACTGAGGTAGTCATTTTATTCCTTGGTCTGTTAGGGTATACCACCTAAGGTGTTGCAGAATTTTCATGTAACAGATGATTTGTTTCATTTTTGTCATATTATCACCATACCTATAATATTTTCAACTTTTAATAGACATTAAATAAATATAATTATTGCTTTATATCTATATCCGAGTTATGTATTTCAAATGCCGAGCAAGTCAAGTGCATAGTGCTGCTTTGCACTTGACCTGCAAATTATGAGCAGAAAGCCACAGCCGGGAATCCACTTATGGATGGAGTGTGGAGGAGGAGCGTGGGGGCATGACGCCACGCACTTGCGTGACATCGATATGCTCTGTCTTCAGAGGGAGCCGCGGAAGAATCCATTCAGTGAGTGAGGGCGGCGCCCAGTGCTCCTCCGTCGGCTGAGAGGTGAACTGACAGCTCAGTCCAGGGAGCAGCAGCCTTTAATATGAGTGACTGTTCTTTTTCTTTTTCTTTTTTTAATTAAATAGGTTTTGTTGAAGGGGTGCAGGGGTTTGATTAATTGGGCAGGGGTTTAATTAATGGGCAGGGGAGTTATTAAGGGGGCTGATGAAGGGGGGCAGGAGATTGAAAAGGGGGTCATGGGGCTGATTAAAGGGGGGCAGGTGGGTGATAAAGGGGTGGGAGGGGATTGATGAGGGGGCAGGGGGCTGATGAATGGGGACAGGGGGCTGATAAATAAGGCAGGTGGCTGATGAAGGGATGGCAGGGGATTGAATGGGGGGAGTAGGGGACTGATGAAGGGGTGGCCAGGGGATTGATGAAGGAGTGGCCAGGGAATTGATGAAGGGGTGGCCAGGAGTTTGATGAAGGGGTGGCCAGGGGTTTGATGAAGGGGTGGCCAGGTGTTTGGTGATGGGATGACTAGGGGTTTGGTGAAGTGCTGGCCAGGGGTTTGGTGAATGGCTAGTCAGGGGTTTGGTGAAGCAGGTGTTTGGTGAAGGGAAGGCCAGGGGTTTTGGTGAAGAGGTGCAGGAGTTTTGTAGAAGGGGATGGAGGCGACAGATTATGAATGCACCTGAAATTGTTTGAAGGGGGCCAAACAGAGACAAGGGGGGGTCGGGGGGGGCGCCAAAAGATTGGCTTGCACAGGGCACCTGAACACCTAAGGCCGGCCCTGGTCATGGGAACCCAAGAGTCATTGATGTACCTGGCGAGTGAAGGCCAACCTGTCTGGTCCAATCACACAGTAGAGCTACTGTAGTTCAAATTGCTGAAAAAGAAAAAGTTAATGCTGAATATGGTAGGAAGGTATGAGAACACAGCACATTGCATTGCTGCATATGGGGCTGTGTAGCTGCAGACAGGTTTAGAGGGCATACCCCCTGCTAAAACTAAGGTATGGCTAAAATATTGTATGTGATATCCATGGAGCAACTCTTAATTCACAGGTTCAATGTTTCCATCAAAAACCTTCTTTAACACATTGCAACCAGGGAGACTGATAGTTTACAAACTAGTCAAAATATGATCAAGGTTGCAGTTATCTTTGACTACAGATGGTATAAACCCTACCATGTTTTTCAGTGGCCTCCTTTATCTCTTTTTTTCTTTCTCCCTTATTTTTTTTTTTTTTTTAGCTCACATTGAATGATTGCACTAATTTATACCAAAAGTACCTTCAATGGGAACATGAGTATCAAAACTGGACGATGGAGCAACGGAAGAAGGTTGCCTGGTCTGATGAATCATTTTTCTTTTAAATCAAGTGGATGATTGGGTGCATGTACCTGAGATTGTGTTCAGCCGTGGGAGTTAAGCCATGTTAGGTTACAGCAGGGATGTGTATATCAGCAAAGGGATTGAACATGTGTAATATGTGACTTGTGATCAATAAAGATAGAAACATAGAAACATAGAATGTGACGGCAGATAAGAACCATTTGGCCCATCTAGTCTGCCCAGTTTTCTAAATCCTGCCTGATTAATAGACTAATTGTGTTTATTTAGAATTTTATTTGCCTAAAACGTAGACTCTGAGACGACGTTGTCAAGCTCTATTCGAGCATTGGACTTATACATTCTCTTCCACACCACCTGTTGGAATTGATATCACTTTGACATCAGGGATCCGGACAAGGAATTGTTCTGCTCGAGGGACTAACAAGGGGGACTGTGTTAAGTTAGGTCACTGGGACCTGTTTTCCATGTCTTTCATGCCATCCTTGTGGTGTCAGCATCTGTAAGTGTATAGTGTTTTATTCTTTTCTGTCTGTTTGTTTATGTATTTTGCGGTGATTACAACCTTTGAAGATCCCCTTCTATGCTGCTAATTAAGACTTACGATATCAATACTCATGAATTATATATGACTTGATTTTGATGTGAATTTTGATCTTTCCAAATTTTGGGTGATCGGTGGATTGTCCAAACTCCAAAATGGCATGTGGACAAATCATAAAGAAAGCGAAACAGACAATGAATGAACAGTTTTATTTGTTTTATAATTCGGAGTGCCATTCGTGTCGCCAAATAAAACCCCTAAATCTATATGATTTATGGGAAAAAAGATGATTGATGGTTAGGGGACAGTCACGAAATGTTAATTTAATTCACAGATCAAATGAGAATTGAGTAATAAAGGGGAAAAGGAGGAGCACTTAATATTTAAATATAGATTTGTTTTTTTATGTATTTAATAAATATTTAATGTATACATATATATATATTTCACTACTTCTCCTCTTTTACCCTTTATGGATTACTTCTCATCTGGTCTGTGAACCAAATGGCATGAAAATGTACTGGGAAATATATACATAATATTTGTATTTTGCAACAAAATGATTGTCCCATTTTTGCGCCCTTTTGGTTCATCTGAATTGTTTCCCGAATTGTTTACATTAACTAAATTGCCCAAACCTAAATGATTTATTTATAAAATATTTTACCAGGAAAGATACATTGAGATTTCTCTCCTTTTCAAGTATGTTCTGGGTCCACAAATCATTGCATTGATACATTATGGTAAAATAAAATACAAAAACAATATTAATACACAATAAATACAAAATTTAACATAGAACAGGTAGGAAATATATAATCAACCATGACACGTGCATTCTGTTTTGAGGTATGTAGAGATGGATCTCTTATAGGACTTTAGGCTTGGGGAATATTTTAAAGTGTGCTGGAGGTCGTTCCACAATTGCGGTGCTCTGTAGGAAAGTGAGGATCGGGCTGCTTTCTTTTTGTATTGAGGTAGACTAAATAAAGTTCTGGTACTGGATGGGAGGTTATAAGAGGTGGGAACAGCCGAGGAGAGCAGAAAAGCTCTTAAACACAAGGCTGGAAAGATGCCATAAGAACGAATTTTAGACCACCTGAACTAAACATTTTTTTAAAGAAATCGATTTGGCTGAATAGATTACTTTTGCTGTGCACAGTATATTGTGCAACCTCTTCCCTTTTAACTATTAGGACCCAGAACGTGTATTCCATTGTCAGGCTATTAATGGGTTTGACACACAAAAGTTCTCCCTATTGTCTTATACTCCAACCCATTGCCACAGGAGTCCAGCAAGGTGTATTGCTTCATTTACTGGGCCCTACAGATATTTCTATTCATTTCCACTCCACCAACCTTGGGGTATAGAAGTGGTAGGAGTCGATTTCTAGATCCATACCTGGTTATTACCATCCAACCCACCACCCACGGGATGGTGGAAACTGTGTGGGACTTTTGCTTATGTACTAGATTTACTCCAAAAATATCTCTATTTTCTGAGTGTGTTTCCTAATGTCACTAGTAAACTGTAATGGTTTACCCTAGATAGTAAATAGCAACACATCATAGATTATCACTGGTGCCAGTTTTATCCCCCAGTTCTCACTAGTAAATTCAGGGACTTGAATATAAAGTCTTTTATTGTCTAATCCAACTTCACTGAACTACAGGATGCACTGCACATGCAAAAAAGGAGGGATATATTAAATTAAAAGAAGGCATTGGTCGTTACTGAAATAGTGCCAGAAAACGTGAAAGAATGATTAAAAAAAAAAAAAAATCAATGAAAACATAGCAGATGATTATGTACTGGATGTTGTGACATATTTCCTATTACTGTAGTAAGTCACCAGCTTTAAAAGGACGGTAGTTCAAACTGTATCCAACGATCAGTTCATTACCCTCTCAGCCATCTAAGTATACTTTTACATTTTACTTGTTATTATTATTCTCTCATGCTATCTGGCACTTTTTCAGTAAAGGTCAATACTTTTTTAAACTCATCGTATGCTACCATGTTAATTTTTGTTTGGACAAGTTTTTGGATTGGACATAAATGTATCGAGTTTACCATAAATATTGTGGACATAGAGGTCTATTCAGATCTGTGCTGAACTGCCTGACTCTAAGTACCTGCATACGGTGTCTGAGGTGTTGAAATTAGTTCTGATTTGTATTTCTTCTAAAAATATTTTCTCAAAGGAACACTCCAGACCTCTAAAGCACTTCAGCCTCCTTAAGTGCTTTATGGGTAAACAGACGTCCGATCTTTCTTTCTATATGAAAGTGAGAGAGTCTGCAATAATGAAAACGATAGTACAATAGACAAAAATATAAAAATATAAAATACATGAAAGTATTTGTTAAAAAACTACATTCTTTATTTGGTATCAAGTGATGAAATATTACTATAGCACTGTATGTACCATACCCACTACATTCCAGACACACACAATTTAGCGATTTGTGGTCACATTGATAATGTGTAATTGACAC